AAGTAGGTTTTCTTAAACCTGTACTGCGTCATCAATTTTGGTAATAGTTTTTGCTCCAGCTGACTTGAGGTGAGCAGCAGCCTATTGACATCATTATCCTCATTTTAAAGTTGGTGGTAGCCAATAGTTGCGACGGCAGGTGATGGCTCGCGGTGCGTTCAGATGTGTTCCAGGCTGTTTCCTTTCTCTGTAAATAATTCGAGCCTCTACCAACCAACTCACTTTTTCTCGTTCTGTTTATTTTGACTTGTTCAAATGCTTTCGCGAAGGGAATTCAAGTGACTTCGGGGGAATGAAGCGACCGTTGAAGCTTTCATCGGATAAACACCCCTTGCAAGCCCGGGCCGGTGAGTGGAAACCACTTCAGTTTTTAAGGACGGTTGCTTGCAGGGCTAGTTGGAAATCTACACTTCAATAATGTTAAAGCTGTAACACTATTAGTTAGATTTTGTGGCACTGCTGAGCTCAACAACACCATGTTTGATCTCAGCCACAGTGGCCATATTTAAATGGGGTGAAACGCTAAGACGCTTGTGTGCTTAAGGGTTTGCTCGAATCACCTGCACAACATGATATATTTTACAAAGTGCTGCACCTCGCCATTTGTTTCAGTGGCACAGCAATATCATCTTCTAAATCGTGTCATTCATTTAAAAAAGTGCAGGAGAGGTACAGCACCAAAACTAGTTCATGACTTTCCTGTATCTTCTGCTCTGAAGGCGCTGGTTTGATGACGCCGCACGCACAGCTTAACAAACATAGCATTCGACGTAGGTACTGTACCCACCTTTAGAAATGCGGCATGTTTTGCCAAGATGTTTGCACCTATTTATATTAAGTGAACAAAAATAAGTATTCCACCTTGTCGGCACCTTATCATTAACTTGTGATGCCGAACTGCTAAACTAGTGCTGCACAAGTTCTGAACTTCTCGTTCACAGCTGTGAACCAGTTCCAATTGGTGCAGGTGAACTAAACTGACCCTTAAAAGATGGAAGCTTGAAAATATGAAAAATTTGTTGACATAAGGTGTCAGTGCAAATAATTCGACAAGCAATCTTGTCTCCTGTTAGGCTACAGTATAATTTATTTGAACCCTTGGAAGCCAGAATCAATCTAAAATTGCCCACTACTGTACGACTCACGATCACTTCATACTTCGCATGGGAATCGTCAAAAATTAGTAATTGGAAAATAAACACCCCCGCTGTGAGGGGCAATAACAGGCTTTCCGACATTTATTTTTGCCTTGTGACAGTTTACGAACAACACCCAGAACTGTTTTGGCTTAACTGCATTTACCTCATACAAGTTTACAAAAAGATGCGCCAAAGCTCATAAGGCTGCACTATGTTGCTTTAGCTTTGCACTTATGTTCAACGGGCTCCTACACTAATAGATCATAAAGGTAATGAGCACTTGTAGCACAGCTTCCTCATAGACGTGAATGCTGTCGTGAAGGGCAAGGTTGTGTTTATTGCACGTGGTTCTGTTTTTTTTTTCATATAGCAGGGAAGCGTTCCAGATTTCTTTGAGCACATCTGTTATTGTTTAAATTAAGTTGTCAAGATTATAGTATCTTTCACTAAGAAGTTAAATTCTGTGCACTGCGGTCATGAAAAGGAAATTTAGAAAATAGCACGTGTAGTTGAAACAGACATGATCTTGACTTATTCGCAGCCACACTGCAGGAAAGTACGTATTTCAAGTCTTAACCACTGAAAGTAGCACGAAGAAAACAACTTCTGCTTTCAAACACAATTATACTGAAAAACTAAACACTGTAACAAGTGTGTAATAAATGTGACCGTTATTGATCCTGTATTCCGACAGATTCACATCATGTACCACCGATTTCAGGAGAGCTTGCTTGCAAGAGAGTACTCAAGTTCTATCGATATGTCTATGCAAAAAAGAGATTGTGCTCAGGGCTGAGCAGATAGTGTACTGTAAGAGCGCCAAAAAAGATTCACAAACAACAAAATTGTACAATTCATGCCTAAAGCTTACTTTTATCGAATTGGGCTTTTCGATTTGTAAGCACACTCCGCATAAGTGTCCCTTTAGCATACTTTTTTGCTGCATACTCAGCAGACCGCTCATTACCTGCGACGAAAAGTTCTAGCTGTAGTACCTGTGTAACTTAACTGTAAGAATAAATGTAGCAAGCCTGAAATATTTTTAGGCCCATCACCTAAATACATATTACCTATGAGATGGGCTCACGACTGAGAATTAAAACTAGTGCCTACCCTGTCGACACGACGCGACATTGCACAATTGTGAAGTACTCAATGTAGCATTGCAGAGCGAAAAAAACTCAGAAGTGCACGCAGCACGCATCCGCAATTGCCTATTTAACAAATTTAGCAAAACACATTGCTCTCACTGCGCGAGTTATCAATTAGCAATGTGCAAGTTTCCTTCCCGTTCTCACATCATGCATTCACTTCAAGATCAACACTACAGGGCAAGCGCCGCATCTGACGGCAGAATCAGACACTTGTCTTGAAGCCACGCTATTAAGCTCGAGTGCCGCAACACAATGAGACCGACGTTCATTCAGCAATCTCGATGTTAAGCTATATGCATATGCTTGTTAACTTTCAAGAGTCGTTACACAAGGGTTGAAAGCTTTCGATATGTGTATGAGTGACTTGTTTTGTTTAGACCCGACTGTATAGATTGATTGTACCGGCTTGGACACTCGCAATAAACGATGCAAACCTCACTTATTGACGTTGTTTTTGCCAGTCGAGGCCAGCTAGATCACCTGGCGATAATTCCAGGCGCGATTTAGCAAAGACCAAAAAAATAAAACAGAGGGAGCGAGCAGCTCGAACCAGCCGTGGGCCCCCCACCTGCAAAAAAAATCATCTGTTTATTGATAATAATGGTACTACCAGTGCCATCTCGCCTCGCGGTATTGCAGTTCAGTACGCCGCCACTACGTATTTGCATGTTATTTTGGTACAACAGCCAAAAGGTACAGTTACCGTTCACTAAACTGGTAGGTGTTCTGTGGTTGTAGTATATAGGTGTTCTTTATTGGTAGGTGTTCTCTGCCGGTAGCGAGTCAGTTCACAAGTACTTCGTTTTTTGCGTGTTTTTTAGTAAATTTGTGCGATGACCATCTGTAGTGTATACTCGGGGCTAATCGCGTGCACCGCTGGATGTACCTGGTGGCACTTTTCACGTATGTCAGCTTCACTGTTGATCAATAATACATGGTATTTGCATGCAGAGCTCTCAGCTGTACGATCCGTTAATTCTTCCTCATTATGTCAACTGAGAACGCACGCGAACTTTCGTTTTTATTATTGTAGGCATCGTGTCACGTTTGTAGAAGTTGTGTCGTTCATACGGAAAGAAAAAAAACGTTTCTAGTTATCGGACTAAATGTGAATTTTTCGTATAGTGTGCGCTCACTGCACGTTAGTTGTGTGCACACTGGAATTACACACTTTGCGGGCACGATTGCGCACACAATGCAGTGGTGTCTTCTTACCGACGTGAAGTATGTCAAGCACTGGGCTGGCGTTGTGCAGGATAGCTACTAAGCAAGCTCTCAAAATCTTGTATTGGCGCACTGACACTGCAAAAAAACTGCTAATCAGCCCGCCGGGAAATCTGGCAAAAAAAAAGGCCTTACGGCGAGTAAAACACGTAAGTCACTGCCGGGTGAGTTCGAATATGATGATGCAGGGGCCGATTGATTTTGATTACGACACGTACCTGTGCTCTGTGCTGTTGCACGAAAACACTTCACAAAGTACTCGAGCACCACGCACTTGGGCTTGCCACGCACGAACAGACTCAGAAAGGTGTGCTTGCGACACTTTACTGCATGCAAACCATAAAATACTCGTGAAGTTTACGCCGGGGCTAAAAGTCCTCGAAGAAGTGAAACAACGCTGAGAGCACGCCACGGAGTGTCTGCTGCTTTGTTTGCCCCGAACTGGTTTGTTTGTCCCATAAACTTGACGTCCCTTCCACCACACTTCTCGCAATGCATTGAGATAGGATAGGGCCTCTCCTAAGTTTTTTCCTTCCCACATGTTATGCGGCACAACTTTGCCTAGGGTTTTCAGCAAACACTCCTTTAGAATGTTGTATGTGGAAACACCTTTGGGTTGTTCCTCTAGTGACAAGCCAGTTTACACCGTAAAGGTGTAAAAATACTGTGTAAAACGCGCGTTTTACCGATTAATTGAGAACAAACGCATTGCAATTGTTTGTTCACCAGTCCGTCGTGCGAGTGCAGGGTACAGTTGACACTCCTAGAATAGTACTCATTTCTGCTTGAATAGGATCACGGGATACCCCTGTGGCTATGTTAGGCAATGCATCCTGCGGACGGCGGACCTCAAACATCTCAGCCGCATCTTGCAGTCGTCCTCAAGGAGACTTTACAAGCGCAGCGTAAAGCTGCCATTTCTCAAGCACCTTATTTTTTTTTGTGGTGCCTCTCCTCACTCCCTTGCAAGCTGCTGGTGCCGTTTTGAGTCGAACAAGGGTAGCACGCTGCCAGTGTCAGCTTTTTCTTAATGGTCTCGCGTTAAAATGACCAACACCTGTTCTCGCCGTTTTTCGATAGACATAAACTACTATGAATGACCTGTGACAACCCCGCGTACCTGTGACATACCAAACCGTGGGTATGAGCCCAAACTTTAGTGGAAAGGGTTTGACGACGTACACGACGTGCGACGTCATTGTCAGATTCTTCATTTCATTACCAGCGTGTCATATTCCTGAAGTCACCTTACCGTTGTTTCACCTCAAGTAAGGGGTTGATCACCTGAGCACCCAGGCGTATGCGGCTAGATAGATAGATAGATAGATAGATAGATAGATAGATAGATAGATAGATAGATAGATAGATAGATAGATAGATAGATAGATAGATAGATAGATAGATAGATAGACGCCAAAAAAGTGTCTGCAGCCCGCAAATTATAGCTGAGAATGTAAAAAACAAATTGCTGAGTTCCACTTACCATGTCCTGCTGATGAGATTTGTGCTGTCTATGAACTCGCCCCATACACAGGCTTCACCGCCAAGCACCAAGGCCTTTTGCTGAGGTGTACCTGGCAGAGTGACTCACAGATAAATATTGGCGCAGATTACGTGAAAGCAGACGAAGATTGACCTGCCTACTGGCGACACTGGCATGAAACCACTGAACAACACATAGGTATTGAAGAACTAAGAGGTCAAATTTGGTGATCCGCGCTAGATTGCGTCACAACTCACACACTGAAGACCACTGCCGTTACGTCAAGGCCGCATTCTTTTTTAAGTAAGGAACATATTGGGCACGAGGACATACCATGGTGCCACCATGGAAGCATTCCAGTGACGTACAAGATGGCATTTCTCAGCAAGTCCTCTTGCGCACACCCCGCTGTCTTTCACGACTGTTTATTTTGCGATTCTCGTTGCACTTTACTTTTACGAAATCTGTAAAGTATAGGTTTGGCATCTTCGCAGACTGTATGGAATACAAAATATGGCTCCGAAAAAAATGTAGGCTTCTCAAACTGCTTGACTATCGGTTCGCTAGAGTAACTGAATATGCTACCTTTAGGTAGTCCTGTTTGGAGCATATACCGGTACTCTAGGCGTCGCCTGCTGGGACCGCCACCTCTTTGAAAACCACGGGGATATTACCAACTACTTTTGTAACGTAACGCGTCATTCTGCACCGAATGCATGTAATAAGTGGTCATTAAAGCATTCTTGCGGCGAAACAACATATTTTAGTTCAAGAAACACATGCACCCATGCTAGTTCGTGGGTTCGCATCAACATTACGAGCCTTGGTTGACCCAGGAAGCATGCAAAGATTTGCATTCCTATTTAGCGCACATAGTCATACAAAGCACAGCATTCCCCGCTATGTGGAAAGCAACCCAGCACACTTATACCGGTGACACGGGCATCTCGGAGGCCATCGAGCCGATGGTCTATTAATACAACTGACCAGAAGGAGCTGCCACCCGGGCGATTTCGATGGTTATCGAGTGAACAGTTCATACAGTGAACGGAGCACCCCACATGCCTGTTAAAACTTCAAGGACTATTGAGCGATGGAAGCGGAAACAGCGCAAACAAGCACTCTCATTCGCAGTGTGATCAATCCCCAATATGAAAAAGAAATGTTGCGCCATTAGCATGTGTCGGTGTTGTAGATTAACTATGAAAGTATTTGCGCCATTTTGAACGTAGCAACAGCTCATACTCCAACAACAACAATGTGCTGGTTCACCGTGCTCGTTATTTCTATTCAGCTTCAGCCACCATATTGCGCACAGTATTGTTCAGATGTGCTATGGCAACACAGCTGTGCCTTGTTTTTTATATGTGTTTGTCTGTGTGGAACAGTGAGTTCTCGGTTGCGTTTCTTTTTTCGGTGTAATTACTGCTTTTGTGCATTTTGTGCAGAATGAATGATACGTCGCCACCAAAAAAAGAAAAAAAAAGATGCGCCAGCATCACACCAGCTCTGAGGTGAGCGAGAAACTGCGTGCCTCATAGATTTGTGGGAGTACCGCTTGTTAATGAGGAGTGCTCGTTTGAAAAGACTTCTCGCCAAGCAGTGGCATGATCTCTCCTTGAATCAACGCGCCTAGCGTGAGATAACCACCTTTTTCTGTCTACACTGCGTTCGGTCACCACGTCTATGATCGTCATGAAGTTGTTTACGAGCAGCAGCTCTTCTTCGGCGGCGTGGCTGCCTCCTGCACTGCTTCAAGGCCAGCACCAAACTAAATTATCAAACCCATCTAGAAAACCACTGCAGCGTTTTCTTGTCAAAATTCTGCTTCGTGGTTACTCGTGACGGTGGAAGCTTGCAAAGCAAGCCGCAGCAGCCTGATAAACGTGTAAACAAAAACAACACTGCACAAACACAACCACAAAAGCACGGCCGCAGCTGCTCATGCGGTGAAAGCATTGCTGCCGTTTCGCTGCTTAACCCTTTTGTGCCTGGCGTCCTGTAAAAAGGACGTAAAAAATTTTGCTGCCATATGTGACCTAATGAAGTCAGATATTGGAAGAGGTTTCCGAACTGTCCTCAATACACCTGCGCAAGCAGACTTAGTCATTTTGTTTTTGTCTTCATCTACTTTTGAACTCTGCAAAGTAGAAAACAAAGTGAGAGATTGCGAAAGCGATGACACTCGCTACAACCGAATAATGACTGAACCCTTACTAGTACTCCGCAGAAGCCGTCAGTGAACCTATTAGATCTGTAGCTATCGTATTTTTCATTTTGTTTCTAAGATGTCCAACTTACTTTTAACCAAGTGAGTCTTCCCTAACCCTAGCGTATCACTGGCAGCAGTCGATTTTCTTGCGAAGGCATCGCTTTTGACACCCATCATTCATATTTTCTCTCGTACAGTACAGATTACGGTGGCGCGATTTCTCACACTTAAAATCAGGCAAAATTTATCAGAACCTGTACTGACGGCTTCTGCGGAGTACAACCACTTGTTATTTTCCTGGCGTAGTGAACCGTGTAATTCAAAGATGGTGGAAGTTTTCATTGCAAAATTTCGTTGCCACGTTACCTCCGTTAATTTTTACTAGGATAGATTATGTATATTGAATTGCCCTCTGTGCATTTAATGTAATCAAAACAAATCGATCAGTCATTTTCATTACATTGTCGCCGTTTCGATTTCTTCAGGAAAAATGCATACTAGCACCACCTCTTCAAAAACGGGGCTTGCAATTATCACAACCTGATCTTCTTTCATTTGGAGCCTCTACACTGGGTTTCAGCCACAGGGATGTTTTATTCGCCGTGAAGGAATTCATCATTGCGACTAAACGATTTTCTTGCTAAATGACGGTTTCACTTTTTTCTTTTTTTTCTGCAAATTTGCAATGGGCATTTCAAATCACAATTCAATAACAAAAGTTTTTTAAGAATGACGCAATAATGAAAGTATCCGACAAATTCACCTTATAATCGGCCAACCCCTCCTTCGGGTACGAGCCATTTGCACAGGGAAGCAACAACGACAACCTTCATCTCCTACATGTAGAACACCACGACTCAGTGATTTTCAGAAGTCTGAATGCATTCAGGTTAACCCAGATGTTTAGGTCTGCTAGAAGTTTCTGATTGCTTGTTATTCTAGACGAGAAACCTGCCCACATCACTTAGATAATATGTAAGGGGCGTCTAACAGCGAGATAGAACGTGATGAACAATAGTTTGTTTTATGAAATATAGTAATGGTGTGTGAAGAAGAGCAAAGAAGAAGACGTCGGACTATTAGGCCGAGGTCGATGTTAACTGCTCCCTAATGTCAACTGTTAATTGTTAATATTGTACACTGCTCTTTACAGCACACATGGACTCTAAGCGCATGGAAAATTGCTAAAGTTGTGTTGCAGCGAGAAAATCAAAACCCGGATATGTTCTGGAAAACATTCGGCCAATTTCGCTTATATCAAACTTAGTTAAAATAATTGAAAAAAATACCATAGTGGGCTCAGGATCATAGTGGGCTCAGTGGGCTCAAGGCAAGTAGGATTTAAACAGGGGTGCTCGATATGGTCGGCTCAAGTTGATTTGGAAAGCCGAATTTGCCTTGCAAAAGTAGCTGGCGAGCTTTCTGCAGTAGCCACATTAGATATTGCAAAAGCCTGCGATAGTGTGGAACACAGTACATTGATTTTAAAAATAATGGCCTGCGATGTGCCTAAGTACAATAAATCTTTGGTTCAGGAGTTTTTCTTTGAGAGACAATTCTCTTGTTGCCACGAGGAAATTACTTCCTCCTCATATAAGCAAACAAAAGGTGGTCCGCAAGAATCGGTTCTGTCACTTCTTTTATTTAATATCTTATTATCATGAGTTTTAGTTCATAAAAGTGCTTCTGCTTACACCTACGTCAATGATATTACTTTTTTCTCGTAATCTTGAGATATCAATACATTGTATCAAATCTTACACTCGTATTTGAGTGAGCTTGAGGTATAGCTTTGCGGGCTGTCTTTTTCGCTTAACGTTAGCAAATGTGCTCTGCTTGTATTTCCTCTATCCATTCCCGTATTTCTTTCACTGAATTGTCGAAATGATCTAATTCCAAAAGTAACGGCATTAAAATATCTTGGTATTGTTTACATGGACAATTTAAATTGGAAGCAAAAAATAGAATCGAACACCCGTAAAGCAGAACCTGCATTAGGAATGATACGCTGGTTTTGCAATAAGAATTCAGGAATGCGCAGGGATACGTTACTCATGATATACAAACTTTACGTACGCCCAATTCTGGAGTTTGGTTGTGTTCTGTTTTCCGGAAGTGCTGAGTACAAATTAAGACCTCTTGTATTGCTAGAAAGGCAAGCTCTGTGGTTGTGTCTCGGGCTACCTAGGTGTGTTGCGAATAACGTGCTTTATTTGGAAGCTCGAATCATTCACTTGATGCAAGATTTCGACAGCTTACCGAGCAACCATTTTTAAAACTCCACGATGCGCCCCTCTTCTGTTCACAGACAGTTTTCATTAAATATCTAGTTTCTTTTTTTAACCGCCTGTGGTGTCGTTATCAAAAACGCGAAGTCTATGTTATCAAAGCTTTCCCTCCAGCATTTACCTCCTCAAACCATATGCTCAATGCCAGTTCACTTAACTTTCAATTACATTTAAAAAAAAAACGCCAAGTTACTTCCAAAGCATGCTCTGGAGGGCCACCTTCAAGACAATCTCAGTCATTTTCCTTAATACGTAGTAATTTCGATGAATGGAACGCAAGATATTCAGAAGGCCGGAGTAGGTATTTTTCATCATAAGCTGAACTGGTCTTTTGCGCTACGATTGCCTCAAGTAACGCCAATTTATCACGCAGAATTCCTCGCTATTACGTTGGCTCTTCGAAAACTCAGTTCTCAGCAATTGAAAGCTACTATTATTTCAGATGCTTTGTCTGTTTGTACACAGTTAACATCCGCAAAGCAGTCTCCTCTTCTCAGGATAGTTTGGTCTATCGTACCGCGTAGCCGATCAGAAGTACGGTCTCTTTGGAACCTGGGCATGCTAGAATTGCACTAAATGAAACTGCTGACTTGCTCGCTTCGGCATATTTGAATTTCGCGGCGGTACTAGTAGCTCCTCAGTTTTCTTTTATTACAGCCAAACGATTCAAACACCTGTTAATCTTGAATATACACGAAACATCCCTGACAATCCAAAGAATTTCGGCACTTGCACTTCATATGGAACACTGCAAAATGGCTTTCTCGCCAATGTGAGGTGACCCTCACAACATTTCGTTGTAGAGTTCCTCGATTAAATTTCTATTTTCATAAATCAGGATTTTCAATCACTAACTAATGTGCAGTTTGCAATGAACCTGAAACAATAGATCACTTTCTTCTCACATGCCACCGCTTTGCCTCACTGCACCGAATGATTCTTGAAAAACCGATTGGTATTCTCGGATTGCCAGTCAATACATCCACCCTATTATCGTTTGGAGCCAGTCAGTTAGGTGTAGGCCGCAGTGCTATTCTGTCAGTGCTACATAAATTCATCCAGGCACCCGGAAAGATACGCTGCTATTGGTACTGCCAGATATGATAATGACGAAAATGATGATGAGCCTCCTTGTTACTCTGGCGCACACCCACAAAAAGGGATCAGCCAAGAACAGGGTGGCGGGATCTTAAGTAGAAGGCCTATTGTTTTTCAAACACAAATTAATTTTGGACTGAAAAAATAATATATGGAAAGAAAAGCCAAAAATAGAAAATAGAGTGTATCTGAGCAGGGATTGAAGCAGGCTATTTAATGCGATTTGAGACGAAGGTAATGGTGGGTCTAAAGCGAATAATATATAAATATATATGAATATGTATATATGTGTATATCTATCTATCTATATATATATATATATATATATATATATATATATATATATATATATATATATATATATATATATATATATATGTATATATATAACCATTATGAGATTAGTGCTTCCCGTGGGCAGGAGCCTGCCCATGAATGACAAGTTATTTTTTCACCCACTTTTCTTTCTTGATAGTTACAATACAATTCAGTCTAATATCTTTCCCTATACTTTCCTTGGCATTATTGTCTGTTAATTCTAATAATTATTGTGTAAAACACGGAAGAACGAGCCCTTAAGTACACACGCCTTTCATCCCCTGATGAATGATGAAGGGAGGACCCCTCCCGAAACTGTGGGGAAATAAATATATTTATCCTTGTTGACAACGCTCCCGTTGTGCCATATCCCATACATTATATATATATATATATATATATATATATATATATATATATATATATATATATATACGAGGTTGTATACGAGGGACTATTGGTCAGCTGCCAGTTAGTAATAAGTTCACGTGCTACGTGACGCCAAACAGGCTTATAGAAAGTGTGCCACACACGCCGCCATGGCTACTTGTGGCGCTGACTGACACTCCTATGTTAAAATTGATATAGATACTGAATAAAGTAGCTGGGGGGATAGCTGTCATGGTGGCTGAGTGGTAGAGCATCGAACGCGTTATTCGAAGGTTGCAGGTTCGGATCCTGCCCACGGCAAGTTATCTTTTTACCCATTTTTCTTTCTTCTGAATTACATTACGACTGGCCTAATAACTTCCCCTATACCTTCCTTGGCATTATTGTCTGTTAGATCTCACTAATATTGTGTACACACAAAAAACGAGCCCTTAAGTATACACTTGTTTCCCTTATTCATTAACGAGGGTCTCGTACTGGCAAACTTGGTGCCTTTAGGTTGTGTACGAGGGACCATTGGTCAGCTGCCAGTTAGTAATAAGTTCACGTGCACCAACCTGGAATTTCGGGCATTCCGAAGTTTTGTTAACCTATAAACTGGCGAGTATTTATTATAACACATGCGGCATTACCAAACCACACAAAGATAGCGTTCGCCACAATACCAAACTCGCTGTAAGTAATGAATACAGCAGAAGAGGTTGTCAAACCGGGAAAATCCTCCGGGTCGCAGGCGTAGTATTTCTTCCAATTGGTGCCGTACGATATATGGTCGAGATACCAGCAGGCGGACAGCAGTACTTTGTATCCCGCAGATGTCACTGAAGCCATTTCAAGCTCTTGCGGCTGCTTCCAGACGTGGACAATGGTGTCTTGAGTGATCTGGGACATGGCCAAGGGAGCATTGATAGCAGAGATGAAAGCATAGCCAAACTGTTTATGATATTTATGGTCGCAAAAATTTTTTTGTTTATTGATTTATGCAAGATGCTTTTCAGTGGCTGGGCAGGGTCTGTGAACAAAAATATTTTTGTTCTGAAAAGGAGCAAGAGCTGGCGGGAATTATAAAAAAAGTGTAGAAATACAGAAGGTTCGATCGGATTAAATTAAGAAAGCCACAAGAAGACAGATGGTAATTGGCTGAATACCTCGAAAACTGACCACAAATAAAACGTAGTTCCACATGTTATACAATTTTAGAGAAAAAAATGGGTAGAAATTTGAAGTTGGATCATTTTTTTGTCAGAAAAGCTATAATGAGAAACGACAGACAAATAAATGAGCTCGTGCTTGTTTATGTGAATCACAAGCTCCAATTTTCGAAAAGCAGGAATTTCAGCTAGTTGGCAAGCCTTCATTCTAGAAAAAATGGGCATGCGAACATAATAAGCTCAGATATTTCAAACGCCAAACACCTGAGGAGGGGCACAGTGGCAAAAAAAAGATGATATTCTGCACTTGTATAGGTACTTCGTGAGCCCGTAATTCCGGCACGCTCGGGGTCTAGCCGAAAGTTAGGCATTTGATTTCTTTTTTTTTGGGTAGAAGTAAGTGGGAATGAATAAGTACGTGGAATAATTTAGGCATTACATACCCATAATGATGGTGGTGGTCAGCTACCATCGATGAACTAGCATGAATAAAAGTTTGCGGATTTTACGTAGAGGGGGAATCGATGATATACAAAGAATGAATGAGAATTGTTGTTATGTCACTTTAAAATCATCGCAGCGTTACGAGGTGGGGTTCAATGATGCCGTACGTGTATTGCGTGTCATTATTATCATGTTTGGATGTGTCGTTTACCTTCATCATCTATTCACGTCACGTGAAGCCAAATTCAGTATAAGTGGAGCTAGCGAAGCGGCCGTGAGCACATTATAAGCGTGGTATGTAGTCATGTTCTTACATTACGCTCGTGTCAACATTATCATGTTTGCGCCAGCCATACATTTTGTCATTCGTAGACGTCACGTAACACCAAATCGGGTACATGTGGAGCTGGCGAAACGGCAGCGAGCATGTCATGAAGAGCCCATTATACTCCAATGTAGCATTGAAGCGCACGCGACGCTGGACACAGTGACGCTACGTTACCAAAACGCGAGCACTCAATAGTCTGACGCCAGGCGCGAACAGCGTCTGTCGGCGCGGCCTGACGGCAACCGGCGCGACAAGCGACATGCTGGATTTCTCGCCGATGCGTTACCTAGACAACACTGTATCTCCCCCTTTTTGTGTAGAAGGGACGCCGGATGTGCTGAAACGCGTGTGCGTGAAAGCAACGCAGCGCAGCGCGTGTCTGCGAGTATAGGGAAGCACCGCCACCTGGCGTGGCAGTGTCGGCGTGACGTGACGAAATGAACGCCGGCGAGCACGTGCACCGCGTCACGTAAGGATGCGACATGACACGCATCTCATGATTATCATGTTTGCACCAGTCACATACCTTTGTCACCCATTGGCGTCACGTAATACCAAATATCGCATATGTGTAGCTAGCAAAACGGCCGCGTGCGCATCGCCAGTGTGGTACGTAGTCATGTTGTTACATGAAACGCATGTCGTGATTATCATGTTTGGATGTGTCATTTACATAGGTCGTCCGTTCGCGTCGCAGAATATTGAGTTTGGCACTTGTGAAGCTAGCGAAATTGCCGCGTGCGCATCATGAGCGTAGCATGAAGTATTGTTGTTACATGACACACATATATCATGTTCATAATGTTTCCACCAGTATCATACCTTTATTATTCATTCACGTTCTGTAAGACCAAATTTGGTAAAGGTAAAGCTAGCGAAACGGCTGCCAGCGCATCAAGAGCGTGGCATGTAGTCATGTTTTACACGACACGCATCTCATGATTATCATGTTTGCAGCAGTCACATACCTTCGTCGGCCATCCGCGTACTGTGATACCAAATGTCGTAGATGTGACGATAGCGAAACGGCCGCGAGCCCATCATGAGCATGACATGTATTCAAGTTGTTACATGGCACGCATGTAATGATTTTGATATTAGGGTCTATCGCTTGTGTTCGCCATGCAATCTTGCCATACCATACCAGTTTTGCAACATGCCATGTGAACGAAACCATCGCAAGAGCTGAAGGGTCATGATATGTAAATCATGACATCCATGACATGTATCATACTTTAAATGTTATGACTAGTCAAATATGTTTCTCATACAGTCATTTTATGCCATACCAAGTTTGGTATTGACATTATTATCGAAACGGCCAGGAGAGCTCAATGCCGTAGGTGGATAGACAGACAGACTGACAGACAGACAGATACATAAATAGATAGATAGATAGATATATAGATAGATAGATAGATAGATAGATAAATAGATAGATAGATAGATAGATAGATAGATAGATAGATAGATAGATAGATAGATAGATAGATACGCTCAAAGTCGCCGAAGTTCACTGAGAAATGCATCGCATTTAATAAATCAAATGTCTTAACAGTTATCTTTCACGTATACCACCACGTTTCCAAGAATGATGGCTTCCCTATTACCTTGCCATGCGCAGATAAGCTTTGTATTTTGTCTCGTTTTCTCCACAGGGCACTTCAGTTTTTATTACGCATTTGTAGTGTCTTCACTTTTTTTTCTGTCTCTTTAAAATCATGTTCAGGAGTTAAAGCAGTCATTTGGGGCAGCTTAGAGAGAAGGATTATTGAAGCTTTACAGCAGCTTTGTAGCATAGAAAGGTGTGATTGTGGGCAGGTCGTGCAAGCTTTAGAACATATTCTTGGGCTGAAACATTATTGTAAAACCACAACCACGTGCACTCGGTTTGCGATCAACAGCGCCATACTTGTACCGCCACGATGGCTGCAACTGTGTCGACGACAGTTTCATTGTTTCTAGTTTGAAAATAAACGAGTGCATGCCCGTGATTTCCGAAAAAAAAGTTAAAAAGTGGGACATAAAGAAGCAACGAAAGCATTTCACGGCATTCTTTTGTCGCGCTCTATGGTTTAACCTGGAAAGGGTGCCCAGAAGTGTACGCTACAACAGCAAAAAGATCCACTTTTCATTAAAATTTCTAATAGCAGAAAGCTACTATAACTCAACACACCAATCAATCAATCATCATTCAATAATTTTGTTTTCTTTCGATTAGGAAAAGTACACGATTAAAAGCTCATGAGCTTGACGAGGTTCCGATCCGTTGACAAATCGGCAAAGCACCAGGAACGGCGAACAATCATGCAGATTGAATATGGAAAAAAAGACTCATGCGTATATCATCGTAAAAAGTAATACAATGTTTATGAAAAAAAGCACTGAAATTATAAACACAATAACTGAAATGTATTGCCATGAAGTGGCAAAATTAAGAAAAAGGAACAATCAATGGGAAAGAATGGCCAGAGTTCTGAACGATTATTATTCACGAAAACAACCAAGCCCAGCAAAGTGTTTATTGTGACAGTTTCGTTCAGAAGAAGGATCAAAATCTTTGAAATTTAGGTAGTGTATAAGAGAAGGTAGCCTGTAAGACAATAATTGTTCGTCATAAACATTTGATGGGGTGGGTACAATCCAAAGTTCTTTGTGGCTTGTGAGTCGAAAATTTGGTTTACATTAAGTTTAGCAAGACTAATTGTTGTATTGGTACAACGCCTAACACTCTTTATAACACAACATCAGCCTGCAATTGTACCAAAAACTGGTAGAATATCATATTTGGGAAAACAAACTTTTCTAGAGGGCATATAGTGTTCAGCAGCAATATGTCGTATGACTTTTTTCTCTGATAGATAAATTGCACAAATGCATCACACTGGTAGTAGACCGCAGTATGCTACAGTACTGTAACAAAGATAATACCAGTGCATTGTATATCATAACTTTTAAAAACGATAGTCTTTCTTGGGGACCCTCGAGGCCAAAATTTTGGTCTGTCTGTCTGTCTGTCTGTCTGTCTGTCTGTCTGTCTGTCTGTCTGCCTGCCTGTCTGTCTGTCTGTCTGTCTGTCTTCCTGCTTGTATGTCTGTCTGCCTGCCTGCCTGCCTGTCTGTCTCTCTTTCTGTCTGTTTGTCTGTACATTTGTCTGTTTGTCTGCAGTAACGATCTGCCCTCAAACAGCCAACCCCATCCGCAGCGCCCACCAATTTCGCTCAAGTTTCAGCGTTCGTACTTGTGCGATTGTCGATTAAGAAGCAATTATTGCTCATTTCTGAGGCTTCGAAAGAACACGTTGATGTTTTGTATGTATGTCTTTATACAAGAGAAGCCCCTCCGCCTCCGGTGTTGCTGCGCATTCCTATGGACGCTCATACCGTCAAAACTCCGACAAGTGACGAAATCAGATCAGTGATGCCAAGCATCGGCAGTATAATTGCTCCAATTTTCTAGGGTCCCGGCAGTGGGCAATGCAGTAGCAGCAGCAGCAGCTTCAGCATGTTGCTAAAAGCTGCTTCTTGTTTATACAGGTACGTTATCTCGAGAATTCGTATCTGTATTCGCTCTGATGACCGATTCCTGCTGCTGTTCTATTGCCCTCACAATTGTTTGAGTAGTAGTTTTATTTGCAATGGTTCTTACGTTATGAATTGCCTTGGTCGTCTTCTCATGTGCGGTGACGTTGAGCTTAATCCTGGTCCCAGGAAACCATTGTCCTCTAAAACGAGCAAATCTGATGAATCCCTGGCAAGCCCTCTTAGCTTCCTTGAGATCTCAGCTGAACTCGTAATGTCTAGTTTTGACAACCCTTCTCTTGTGAAAACGATCGCTGATTTAGTTGCCTGCCAGAAAGGTATGTGTGAAGACATATCAGATATAAACATTGCTGTGAATAGTCGTTTCGATATCTTTGAATGGCATGTGGCTGCTGTCGAGAATTCGCTTTCCAAGGC